AGCATATAAAAATTGGACAATAAATAAGGAAGACAGGAATTAACATCTTTCAGGTGTGACACTGCCATAGGGTATTGAATATACTGTATAATGTCATTTCTTTCTTTATAAAATGTCCAGTTTTCCTGCATTCATGCTTCTCACATTCCATGTACCAATTGTTAATTTCTTCTTACAACTGTTTCTCCTCCCTTGTGTTTCCAAATTTGAGGGCTCAACTTCAGTTGCCATACCTATTACTCTACTCTTAGTGTGCTCTGCTGTACACAGGGTAACTTTTCAATCTGTATGCAGAACAGATCATTCGGGAAGTAGGGCTTTATGAGGAAGAATATGGCATCAAGATTGGAGGGAGACTCATTAACAACCTATGATATGCAGATGACATAACCTTACTTGCTGAAACTGAAGAAGACCTGGAACACTTGCTGCAAAAGGTCAAGGACTGTAGTCTTCAAAATGGATTGAAGCTCAACATCAAAAAGACAAATATTCTCACCAGTGGGCCAACTAGTAGCACTGTAATAGATGGAGAAGAGATTGAGGTTGTTAGCAATTACAGCTTGCTCAGATGCGTAATCAACACTCTTGGCACCAACAGTCAAGAAATCAAAAGACTGCATTGGGGAAGTTTGCTGTCAGGGACCTCTCTAAAATGCTAAAGAGCAATGATGTCAGTCTAGAAACTAAGGCACACCTGATCCAGGCCATGGTCTTCACAATTACTTGCTATGCATCAGAGAGCTGGACAAAAGACGAATTGCATTGGGAAAATCTGCTGTCATGGACCTCTCCAGAGTGCTGAAGAGACTAACATTGTCAGTCTAGATACAAAGGTGTGCCTAATCCAGGCCATGTGCAAAATGAAAATAAAACATGAAGATTTGGAAAAAATCTGTTGTATAAACTAAGGACATATATCCTTGAATTTTTACCAAAGATGTGGCCATGTGGTTTCTGGCTGAAGAGTTTAAAGCTATGATTGAATTTTCTAATCAACTTCTTGCTCTTCTTATGTGCCATAGAGTTGCCTGCGACCCATAGTGACCCTGTGGACAACAGCTCTGAAGCTTTCCCTGTTCCGAGTCAGCCTCACTGACTCCAATACACCTACCCCCATTACCCTAGTCACTGTGTCAATCCATCTTATCAGGGGTCTTCTTCTCCTGCACTGTCCTTCCACTCTTCTGGGCATGATGTCCTTCTCTAAGGACCGGTCCCTCTTAGCCACTTGCCCAAAATATGTGAGGCTGAGCTTCAAGATCCTAGCCTCTATGGAGAAACTTGGTTTCACCATCTCCAAGACAGACTGTTTTCTTGGTGGTCCACGGTATGTTCAAGACTTCTCCAGCACCACAACTCAAAGGCATCGATTCTTCTTTTGCTACCACAGAAGAAAACTCATCAGTTAAGACTTAAAAAAAGATAAACACAGAGGATTCAGGAGCCAAATGGACTACAAGCAAAGGTGGGCAGGGCCACATGAGGGGGGTGGGGGCACAGACAAGGCAGCTCTAAGGAGGGGTTGGGTGGGGTGCTCAGATCCCCAACACCACAGGGCCACCGACCTAGCCCACACAAATGGCCCTCACTGGTAACCTTCACACATTCAACAGGACACGTGCCAGGCTCGCTTGCACTGAACAGCTGGTCTCCAGGAAGATGCACCACCACTGCTGCAGCATCAGAGCTCAGGGCTGCCCTTGCGACGTACTCTGCAGCGCAGCCTGGCCTCGGGAGAACCCTGAGATCCTTCCTGGCCCCGCGGTTTCCCCCGTCGGGGACCCACATGCAACCAGGACCTCCTCCAGGTGTCGAGGCCGGGAGTCCAGGAACTCACTGCTGTCTATTCCATCTATTCAGACCAAGTGTCCAGCGTGAGGATCACACCCGAGAGAGGCGCCTCCACCATACCCAGGGGGTGGGGGTGGCAGCAGGGTCCCCGCGGGCAACCCTGCCAACACCACACCTCTACCATCGCCAGAGAGGCAGCACCACGGGGAGCGGGCACGGAGCGCACGCTGCCGGCACAGGACACGCCCGGCCAGGGACTCTGAGCTGGAGGCGCGGCTACTGCAGGCGAGGAACGGGGGGGGCATGTCCCCGGAGGGGACGGGGGATACGCACAATCAGGAAGGCAGCGGCTGGGGTTACGGGACCCCAAGGCACCCTCCAGGACGGACTAGAGGCCTTCTCACTGGGCACGCAGGGGAACCGAGGCGAGGCCACTGCCTTACCTGTTAGCGAGGAAACCAGCGGGGCTGGGGTGGGGGGGTGGGCGCACTGCCGAGCCCGTCCACAGGCTGGGATCCCACTGTTCTCTATGGATCGGCGCCAGACGACGAGGGGAGACTGGAGGACCCGCACCCCTCAAGGTCAGGTCAGGGCCCCACGGGCAAAGCATAGGGTGCCTCTTGGACTAAGTGCGCCATGCATGTGGGCAGGGGGCATTGTGTACACAACCCCCCAAGACTCCTTAGAGCCTTCTGGAAAAGAACCCAAAAAATACATATGTGTGAGGCAGTTACAACCCTGATCAAACCACCACGCGCCAGGGGCACGAGGACACACAGCCACTCTGTTGGCTCTTAACGCGACTCTTCAGACTCTGCTTATCTCCCTGGCATCTACCTTAAGGGCCTTTCCGCCTAGCCTTACTCTATGTCTCCCTTGGTCAGTGCTGACAGGGTGGAGGATAGCGCCCCACAAGCTGTAGAATGTTACGTATTGCCTCAAAATATATGTGGTAGATGATAACTTCTATGCCAGTGATTACCTTCCCATTTGAGAATGATTTGTCTTTGTTCTGTTAATGAGGCAAGCTTAGTGTAGGATGTGTTGAAGCAAACTATTCTAAAATACAAAATTCATCTCATCTCATCCACTCCTGGAGGAAGACTGTAAAATTGGTCGTACCGCCAGTGCTACAATATACTTTTATTAGCAAAGCTTCATCTTATAAAGCAGCAATGTATCATTTCCCTGAATTAAGAGAGGTGGGGAGAGACCCATTGTCATAGAGTAGGAGACAACTCACAGTTGACCCATCTTTGGGTTTGCAGGGCTATAAATCTCACAGAAGACTGTCCATTTTCCTCCTGTGGAGCTGCTGCTGGATTAGCCCTGCCAGAGAGAGGAAGCCTTTGGATCGGTAGAGCAGATTCCTGTGGACCAAGCCACCAAAGCTCCCAGGGAGGGGAAGACAGATGGCAGGGGACAACATGGAGATCTCCCAGGGGCCAGATACTGGAGATGAAGATCTCCCGCTACCCCAGAGGCAATAGAGCAAAGCCTTTTCCTAGAGCGAGCACCCTCAATTTGTATTTAATCTGAACTGCGAGAAAGTAGGTTACAACTACCCACTTGTGTTATAGCAGTGCTACATAACTTAGAAAGTCCCTTTATCACAGCTGTTTTAACAGGCACTGTCAACTCCTCCTGCTTTATGTAATGGATGGAAATACATCTTGGTGAAGTTCACCTGTCTGTTCTCACATTTGTGGACTGTGGGGTTGGCTGAAAATTGAGATTGGGATCTTTCAGACAGACAGTGTAGTGCTGGGTTTTTAAACTTGACTTTTCTAGCCATTTCGTTAGCCTCCTTGGGTCTTCAGCTACACTAACTGCTTACACGTGATGCTTGCAAATGATCAACAGCTGTGGGACTAGGGTAAGCGAGTACTTCCCACACTCATCAGTGAGATTTGAGGAGACTTGGACCAAGACCATAGTGAGAGTGATATCCTGGGGGATGGTGGAGAGACTGGCAAGGAGTAACCAACCAGAGAAGCCCCGAGATAAAGGCCACAGTTCAAGGTTTTGCTGTTCTTGCTGGATGATGGAAGTTCAGCTGATTGCTGAACTTGGAGCCTGGACTAATTGGGAATCTGTGCCTTGTGACGTGTGGGCTAAAGCCTAGACTTGCATTGGGTAATATATATATATATATACATACATACATATATACACACACACACATATATATTTTAAAGGGGTGATATTCTTTGCCTCCCCCACTCTGGAACTTATTTTCCAATAAACCCCACTCTCGGTACCCAAATCTGAGTAAAGTCCGTGAGTCAATAGCAAATCTAAGACCTGAATGAAAGAAAGAGGTGCTGGAGCATGGGTTGTCATGTCTGACCAAGCAGGGATCTACTTGTTGCTATGGATAGTATTGATGGGGACAGTTCTCCTTTGTGAATTGGGTGGAAGTCAGACTCCGGGCTGTGACTGCCCTCATATCCCACCTGTTCCTACGTTTACAGACAGGCAGCACTGGCCTAAGGCAACAAATCAGACTGAGGACACTATACAACAAAAGAGCAGAATTAAGATTTTAGGAATGTCATTTATTTCCAATCACCACCACTTTTTCCTCGAGGAAGATGCCGAGTTTGTGGAGAAGAGAATGAGCCCAGTTCAGGATTCCAGTGCTCAAGAGGGGGACTAGCAGGGCAGAGGGACCCCAGGGAGAGCTCTGCGGTTACTTGAGGGGGCAGGCTTCTTGGCAGTAGCACCACTTTGTGGCATCTGCCTGTTGTCTCTTAGAAGCATTACTGCTGGGTCATCCACCTGCTTCACTCCATGGATTCCAAGGGTGGAAATGAACTAATCAGTGATAATGTTGGAAATGAATTTATTTGGCAAGCTCCACAATGTGGGCCTGACTGTCCCAAACAGCCACGTAAAGACAGTCGATGAAGCAAATGCCCCCTTCCCACTGCTACAGTGGAAGTTCCGTCACATGGAAGAGTCTGTCAGCGATGGAAGTGCTGCCTGCTGGCTTCAGAGGGGAAAACAGGAAGATGGGCAAGAGCGGTGAGGAGGGTGGTGGCCTCCTCTCAACTGGACTGTGCCTTCTGCACAGCGGCCGCCCCTCTCCCTCACCACTCTCCTTGCTGTCAGCGGCAGCAGGTGCTGCAGGCAGCCTGGGTATCGGAGGGATGCCACCGCCGACGAGCTGCTGAGGCCTGGCGGGTGCCAGCAGCTGGCCTGGGTCACTTGCTGGCGACAGCGGAGAGCTGGTCTCGGATGCGGCCCAGCCCATTAAGCATAGTGTCCAGCATTTCTCTGCTCAGCTCCATGGTGACAGCTGAGGTGGAAGGTTCCCCCCCACACCGGCTTGGATCACCTTGAATCTGGAAAGAGAAGACGGAATAAGGTTAAGGTTGCTTTTTTGCAAGTGAATCCTGGACTAACGGGCTTCGCCTCCACTCTGCTGGACCTCTGAAGAGCAGCTCTTTGCTAAGAGCCATAGAAAGTCCTAGCCATTGAGTTATTTGGCCTCCAGGGGGGTGACTGCAGGGGACATAATCTCAGAGGCCAGGTCAGTTTCTGCTTAAGGGAAGTGCTGTGGGTGGGTATCGGCGAGGCCAAGCCAAGAGCGCCCTGACAGCCTCCTCGCAGCATCTGCCTGGGGACACAAGACGTGTGCTCACACCAGTACTTTTAATAGGGGCTCCATAGGGTGCGGAACCCAATACATTTCAGATGCAGGAAAAACTTTTCTAGGAAAAACTTCTAGGTATATTATTTTGTATCAGGAAAAAAAAATAAATAGAATTTGTGGTTCCCTATCTCACCCAGAGGTGCCCTGGAAGCCAGGCCTGGCAGTGTGCTCCTCTGCTTGTCTATGTTTTATTATGTCCATAACATATTAATACAGTATTATATGCACGTGTAGATAAAGATAGGTAGTCCCTGACTTAGAAGGAATTTCAGTTACGATGATGAAACAACCATATTTTGGGGGGTACCACTTAGTGGTATGTGCTACATTTGCTGATGTTATCATTCTCACATGTTCAGATATATAACGATAGTAAAATGCAAAACTTAAAAAGGACAAAGAGGTACTCAACTCACATGAGAACCACCTTACAATGGAGGTCTCAGAGGGCAGTTAAGTTGGTATGTAATACCTGTCGACACATTTGAGGTGGGTGCTGGACTATTTTCGTTTATGTATTAAAGATTCTGAAGGACCGAGGATCCCTTGTGACTGGTGATTTACACAGAGTGCAGGGGTGCTGTCAAGAACGGGTCCCTTTTTCCCTCTCAACGAGCAGAACAACGGAAGTACCTTCATCTGGAGAAGGCAGGTGGGCACCGCCATGCGACTGATGCTGTCTGAGGAGGTTTTGATATCCACTCTCCAGTCCAAGTCGACCAGGCGTGGCAGAGAGACTATGGAAGGGATAGTTCAGTTTAGGGTTCCCATCATCTGAGTTCACCAATCTTTATGCCCGGCACGGCTCTAAGACTGTCCATCTCATTCATTTAACCACACAGCAAGTCTGAGGATGGTGCCCTGGACCCCACAGCAAGGCATGGGCCGCAGGACCACTCTCTGCCACAGACACTGAGTAAAGCTTCAAAGCAGGCAAGCTCTTCAGTGAGCAGATTCCGACTCACTGTGATCCAGCAGGACAGAGTCAACTGTGCACAGGGCTTCCCAGGCTATAAACCTGTGGAGGCTGAATGCCTCCTCTTCCTCCCGTTCAGCAGCTGGTGGGTTCAAATTGCCAAGCTGCTGGCTGAGCAGTCAGTTTCTATAACCGTGATGCTACCAGGGCTCTGTGCATTGTGATTAGCCCAGAGTCAATGTGTTAAATCCTTTTAGAGAATCTTTTAAACCAATTTCAACAACTGTTTGTTTTTTTTTCCTAATTAGAGTAGAATTTTAAATACTTTCTGCTTTGCAATTTTTTTTTTTTTAAGGAGTATGGACATAGTACATTACAAAACCATAGCATAGGTTGTGTGGCTTAGAGTTAGAATAGCTTGCTTTGGATTTTAGTTAAAAACAGGCCACTGGGCAGATTTAAGCTGTGGCTGGCTGGGAGGGATAGGAGGGGAGAGGTGGTCTCAGTACTCACTCTGATTTGCCTGGGCTTCAGTTCTCCACGTAGATCTGCTCAGGAAGAAAACAATGGGGAACAGATGAGAATTCAGCCCACAAGAGAGGCCCGTGAACCTGGGCTTCAGCCTCCATGAGCTTCAAACCTTAGTTCCCACCCTCAGGAGGAAAGGCTCCCAAGGGCCACCAGTGATCTGAAGGCTATATGTGCTATTAGTTGGGAGTTTTCATAACTTTAGAGAAAATGGATCATATTATTATTATTTTGCTATTGTTCTCTGTCATAAGTATGACAGAAAAAGAATTGATGCCTTTGAGCTGTGGTGTTGGAGAACAGCACTGAACATCCCATGGACGGCCAAAGAGGCAAGAATGAAGAGGCTCTGCCTCATATACTTTGGAAAAGCTGCTAGGAGGGCTATTCCTTGGAGAAGGACATGATGTTGGGAAGGGTGGAGGGCTGGCAAAAGAGAGTAAGACCCTCAACCAGGTGGACTGATAGACTGACTGCTGCAGCGGGCTCTTGTGTGTCAGGAAGTGTGAGGATGGCACAGGAGAGAACAGGGTTCAGATCTTTTGTTCATAGGGTCACTATGAGTCATACTCGACAGCCCCTAACAACAACAACATTGTTCTCTGAGACATAGCAGAAAAAAAAGGTCTTTTTCCTGAGCATTTCCTATACAAAATATTGCAGCCTTATGCTCAAACACATCTAAACAGATCTGTCTAATGCTCCAACAGTGGCACAAGGTGATACCAGGAGACTCAGAATGAAATGTGGTTGTGAGTGAGAAGATCCTTAATAAACAAGACTTTTTGTAAGTAAACATTATCAGTTTTTAAAAGGAGAGAGGCCTATTGAAGCCTGCTAACTACCAGTAAGTTCTGCTTCATGTGCATTGAAAGATCATCCTTCTAGCCAAGAAAACACGGGTAACTCATGAAAACCATGAAAATGACCAAACATAAGAATAACATATATGACATCACCAACATCAAATATCAAAGTCGGGCAGTTCAAATCTGCCAGTTCCTCCATGCAAGAAATATAGGCAATCTCCTCCCTCGCAATTTCCAGCCTCTGAGAACTATGGGATTTCTGAAAGCCATAGGTCGGTCTGACGCAATGGCAATGAGGTTTTTCACTATCAAAGAGACGTGAGTTGAAATAACCTAACACTTGGCATTTGTGAAACTGGGAAATGCATGAATACTGCCGTGAGTGCTAGTCAGGATGTGGAACAGGGGGCACGCTCTTTCCTGTTGGTGGGAAAAACAGTCGGTGCAATTCTTCTAGGGGAGAAGTGATAATTTCTCAAAGCCACATCCTCAGTATGTCTGTCACCTTTAACCCAGTAAGGAAGTAATTAAGCCAAGTTTCGGCTATAATTGAATATAAACTAAATTCTATTACTAAATATAAAATATTTTTATTAAAGTAAAAAGCTGCCAACAGCCTAAATGTCCAATGCCAAGGTAGTTCTTAATTAAATTGTACATAATTTCTTTTACACATGAAATACAATTAGCCATTAAAAGTGATATTGGAAAAAAAAAACATTTATTGACCTGAAATGCCAATGTTAATGTTAACACTGAACTGAAAAGCTGCAAGTTAAATTAGTATGAAGGGAGAGCTCTGGTGGCCTGGTGACTAAGGAGACAGACTGCCCACCCGAAGGTATTCAGTTCTAATCTGCCAGCTGCTCCAAAGGACAATGACGGACAATCTCCTCCCACGAGATTTACAGCCTCTGAAAACCCACTGGACCGTCAGCTAGGTTCTGACTTGACAGCACATAACAAAAACAACGAAACAGCATGAGAGCACGTTCTCAAAAATAAAGCACCAAGTTCTCTGTAAATGGGCAAAACAATGTCCATCAGTTCTCAAAGAGCTTTTTCACTAAGGAATTAATACTGCGAACCTCTGGGCTTGGGAGCTCTGGTGGCCTGGTGGTAAGAATCTGCGCTGCAATCACAAAGGCACACAGTTTGAATCCACCAGCTGCTCCTCGGGAGAATGACAGACAGTCTCCTCCCCTGTGATATACTGTCTCTGAAAACTAAGCTGCCTGGTGTGTGTGGGGTTTCTTATTGTTGCCTTGTTTTCTGTCAACAATGCACATATGACTGCTGCTAGAATAAAAATGAAGATCACCCCTGTAGCCGTTGAAATGATTCTGACTCATAGTGATCCTACAGCACAGAGCAGAACTTCCCCACCGGGCTTCCAAGCTGGCAATATTTTACAGAAGCCACTTGTCACATCTGTCCTCTCTGGAGTGGCTGATGAGTTTGAACTGCTGATCTTTCTGCAAGCAGCTGAACATTTAATCTCACTGCCTACCAAAGCTCCTTCTCGAATTGTTGCTGTGTACTAGCAAGTGAGAACTGACCCACAGCTGACCCTCCAGCAGGTTTTCAAAGGCGTAAATCACACCAGAAGAGGCTGCCCATCCTTCCCCTGCAGACGCTGAACTGTGTGCCTTTGGGTTAGCAGTGCAGCTCCTTACTGTTAAGCCACCCGAGCTCCCTCCTAGACCAAGAATGAAAAGAAACACTCGTTAAATGGAACTGTGCAAGAAGTAACCACTTACATGTGTTCTAGGATGATTTTGGTCAGCAGGTTTTTGAGGTTTTGGTGGAAGTTTTCAGGAAAGACAGCCAGGAGAGCCTCGGCGGAGGACAGGTCCCGGAACACGGCCAGCCTCGTGAGGCAGTGCAGAGCCTGGAGCAGCTGCCGAGAGACAGAAAAGAAGGGACATGAAGGGACACGGCAGAGAGCAGGCATCCGTGGGCCAGTGGTCCGAGGCCCAAGAGACGGGAAAGCAGGGACAATGAGGGGACATGGCAGAGAGCAGACGTCCGCGGGCCAGTGGTCCGAGGCCCACTCCCCATCACTGGAGCAGCTGCCGAGAGACGGGAAAGCAGGGACAATGAGGGGACATGGCAGAGAGCAGACGTCCGCGGGCCAGTGGTCCGAGGCCCACTCCCCATCACTGGAGCAGCTGCCGAGAGACGGGAAAGCAGGGACAATGAGGGGACATGGCAGAGAGCAGACGTCCGCGGGCCAGTGGTGCGAGGCCCACTCCCCATCACTGGCAGGGTACTGCCACACACCATCAGTCATTCAACTGAGACATAAGGGCCTCAGAAACTGATGCCCACATACTCAATCCACCTCTGCATCCACCTGCTGCTACAGAAGACGTAACACAAACAGCTGCCAGTTTGCCAGAAACTCTCTGCTTGTGGGAAAAGAGTCAACCAATCCCGTTTCCTCGTAAACCAAAATCAAATCCCACGCTGTTGCTGTGAACCTGAAGGGAGTGGGATATCGGCTGTGTTACTAGGCAATGTCACATCGCTGGCTGCTCAGGGCTGCCTTTGGCCGGTCTGGATGAGAGGACCATGTAAAAAGCTGGTGAGACCGCAGAGCCCTGGGCATGCAGGTTGGGCGTGTGCTCCACGTGATGTAGTCAGGTGGCGTCCAGTGGACTCTGATTTACGGCATCCCATGTGAAGGAGCTGACCTCCTCAGATGGTTTTCTTAGCTGTGGTCATTACAGAAGCAGCAGGCCAGGTCTTTCTGGAGCTGCGGGATGGGTTCAAACCGCAAGCATTTCAATTAGCAACTGAGTGCATAAAAGTGCCTTTATTCAATATGTTCTAGAAGTATCCCCAAAATGACAGGACCCACACTGCCCAACAGTTCTCGTTCATGACTCAGTTCACTCACTGGAGTTCAGCCCGTTCACTCGGCGTGAACCTCGGTCAGGATTCCGAGGCTATAAGCCGCAGGAGGAGGAGATGGACCATCTTTCCCCTGTGGAACCACCGGAGACTGTCAGCCTTTGAGTCAGCAATGCGATACACTTGGGGCTGTGTGCGTCACCAGAACTTTTTTTTTTAATTTAGGTTGTTTATTTTTCATTTCAATGAACATCTAGAGATTTTGGAATTCCATTCATTCATTGTTGCAC